GGATAACTGCGCTAAATGAGATTCTTTAAAATACCGCACATACGTTGGGGAGAGGAAAGGGGGGGGGTAGTACTTTCTTTTGTTTTACTGAAACAGTCTTTACTCAACTTAAATATGGTATGATAAATCTGCGGTATAAAAGTGGGTAGGAAATTCGAATATCAATATAGTTCTGGGATGTAGAAATATTTTGCGGTTGCGAATCTGGGAGCAGGGGTGGGTAAGCACTACTTGGGATTCCTTATAAAGTGCGTTGTTACGTAAATGCATGTTTTGTCAAGTTAATATTAGTAGCTGGGAAGTCCCAGCATTTACGCCGCCTTGTTTGGCGGGCTAAAACTAATTGGCTTATGCGGCAAAGGCAAGGGTGCATTAGAATGTTAAAATAGTTCAGGGGCGGTGGCGTAATTGAGTAACTTAAGTAGGGGGCACGTTCCCGTAATGCGGCCGTCCTTGTTGGGCGGGTGTATCTAGGTATATATATACGAAGCACAATCACAAATTCGTTAAAACTCTAGTCCAACGCCACACAGCTCTTTAAAAGAGATTGGAAAATCCTATTTTCAAGAGAAATCCCCGTATCTTCCTAACTTGAAACTATCCCGACGTACGGATTGTTCTTAAACCCCGCCACAACGCGAACCCACTTTTAACGTGATCAGATTTTATTGACCAAAGTTGAATAAAGCACTTCCATTAAAAAAACAACAAACAAAAAACATGAAAGAAATGAAACAATGTGTTGATTGACATTGGTTCCGTGAGGAGACAGTGACATTTTAGTCGAGCAAATTGTGTAGCCTATGTGCTACACCGACTCCTCCAGTAGCCTTTGTGCTACACTGACTCCTCCAGTAGCCTTTGTGCTACACTGGCTCCTCCAGTAGCCTTTGTGCTACACCGACTCCTCCAGTAGCCCTTGTGCTACACTGACACCTCCACTAGCCTTTGTGCTACACTGACTCCTCCAGTAGCCTTTGTGCTACACTGACTCCTCCAGTAGCCTTTGTGTTATACTGACTCCCCCAATAGCCTTTGTGCTACACTGACACCTCCAGTAGCCTTTGTGCTACACTGACACTTCCAAAGCCTTTGAGCGACACCGACTCCTCCAGTAGCCTTTGTGCTACACTGACACCTCCAGTAGCCTTTGTGCTACACTGACACTTCCAAAGCCTTTTTGCTACACTGACACCTCCAGTAGCCTTTGTGCTACACTGACACTTCCAAAGCCTTTGAGCTACACCGACTCCTCCAGTAGCCTTTGTGCTACACTGACACCTCCAGTAGCCTTTGTGCTACCCTGACACTTCCAAAGCCTTTGTGCTACACTGACACCTCCAGTAGCCTTTGTGCTACACTGACACCTCCAGTAGCCTTTGTGCTACACTGACTCCTCCAGTAGCCTTTGTGCTACACCGACTCCTCCAGTAGCCTTTGTGCTACACTGACTCCTCCAATAGGCTTTGTGCTACACTGACACCTCCAGTAGCCTTTGTGCTACACTGACTCCTCCAGTAGCCTTTGTGCTACACTGACGCCTCCAACAGCATTTGTGTTACACTGACTCCTCCAATAGCCTTTGTGCTACACTGACACCTCCAGTCAAGCCCGTAAAGGATGAGATCAGGCGTGTGTTGGTGTGATTGACGTACATCTATTGACCCCGGGCTGAAATAGGACACCCGATGCTTCCATTCCACAGGAAATGTTAACGATATGTTGATTCATGGCAAGTCATAAAATCTCTCAGCTGATCGTTTTGGGCCTGGTAGTAGTTTACAGGACCATATTGTTATCGAAGGTCATTGTCCTTTATTGCCCCCCCCCCTCTCCCCGCCCACCCAAATTTTCTGCCTCTTCTAAACATAACTGGATTCAGAAAGAAATATAAGCCTGACATAACGGTTGAACCCTAATTATGGAATGACAGGACGCACGTAAATGTATGTACACTGCATAATTTCACGTAAATATATGTACACTGCATAATTTCACTTAAATGTATGTACACTGTATAATTTCACGTAAATATATGTACACTGTATAATTTCACGTAAATATATGTACACTGCATAATTTCACGTAAATGTATGTACACTGTATAATTTCACGTAAATATATGTACACTGTATAATTTCACTTAAATGTATGTACACTGTATAATTTCACATAAATGTATGTACACTGTATAATTTCACGTAAATTTATGTACACTGTATAATATCACGAAAATATATGTACACTGTATAATTTCACGTAAATGTATGTACACTGTATAATATCACGTAAATATATGTACACTGTATTATTTCACATAAATGTATGTACACTGTACAATTTCACGTAAATTTATGTACACTGTATAATATCACGAAAATATATGTACACTGTATAATTTCACGTAAATGTATGTACACTGTATAATATCACGTAAATATACGTACACTGTATTATTCACATAAATGTATGTACACTGTATAATTTCACGTAAATATATGTACAATTGTATAATATCACGTAAATGTATGTACACTGTATAATTTCACGTTAATGTATGTTCACTGTATAATATCACGTAAATGTATGTACACTGTATAATTTCACGTAAATATATGTATACTATATAATATCACGTAAATGTATGTACACTGTATAATTTCACGTAAATGTATGTACACTGTATTATTTCACGTAAATATGCATACACTGTATTATTTCACGTAAATATATGTACACTATTATGTGCACTGTATAATTTCATGTAAATGTATGCACACTATAATTTCACGTAAATATATGTACACTGTATTATCGCACGTACATATAAGTACATTGTATTATTTCACGTAAATGTGTACATTTTACTATTGCACGTAGATATGTGTACACTGTTATTGCACTTAAATATATGTACACTGCATTATTTCACGTAAATATGTGTACACCGTATTACTTTTCCAATTGTAGATAAAAATGACGAACGGATTTCAGTTTTGTCTTGCCATTTCTCACTTTAAGTAAGAAACATTAACCGGTGAAAAGACGTTTGATTCCGAGCTAGAGCTCAACTCCGTTTCCCAGAGGAACGATCTTTGTGGTCATATTAAAATCGTGTACGTGTCTTCTGCATATCCCTCGTCATGTCCTCGCCGTGATGTGGCTTCTTACTTGGTTTGACCTATTCCTAGTGGTACGTCTCGCATTCTTTACTTGAAAAGTTGCTCTGGTCTGATCTTTTCATTCCAACACAGTCCACATTTATCCCCCGCCTCTCCCTCTGTCTGTTGAGGTCACGTCTCCACCAGTTCCTTGGTCCTCCTTTGTTTTTATTGTTCTGTGGACTCAATGACAGGGACCCACCTCTGCGCCAAGGTAAAAATATCTTCTGGGACAACAAAAAAAAGAAGTAAAGGAATTTAGAACAATGGAACTCAAACTTTAACTCTGCAAGGTCAAGGTTAACGCAATCTGTGGCAATCACTAGATTCATTTCCTGGTTGTTGGCCAATGATTTTATAGGATTTTTAGTTTCTCAGTGTATGCCAATTCAAATAAGTAAAAGATAATTCTCTGGTCACGACAGGTAATTCCGTGGAAGAGGAAGAGGTCGGGGAATAATGAGATAAAAACCCTCCAGGAGTACGGTAAGCATTTTTGTTGTTTCCACGGAGAACTGCGTGGTTTGTTTTGACTTACCAGCTAGTTCCCAAACATCAAGTTTACTTATTTTTATCGCTGGCCCAGTCTCATCCAACGAAACAACCAATGGGATGTTGACCTCTGCCGCTCTATTCAACCAATGAGAAGCTAACATCAGCTTATCTATTCAATCAACAATTGAAGTAGAGACCGTGTCAATTTTATGCAGTGTGTGACCAATTACATCTCTATTTCCTTGTCTATATTTCCTACCTGGTGGAGTAAAAACATGAGTATATGAAGTGAACCAAAAATGCAGCCCGAATATGTACCGCCCTGGGCGAAAGCCCATCTTCCCACACCAGTGTTCTCTTCCCACTGGATGATTTCTTGATCTTTCTCACAAGATAACGTTTGGGATCTTTTCAACCTTTAATTTTAAGGTCTCTGGATAACTAATCTGACCATGATAAAACCCATGAATAACTCATGGGAGGTGACAAAACACATAAATAACTCATGTGACCATGACAAAACACATGAATAACTAATATGACCATGACAAAACACATTAATAACTGACGTGACCATGACACAACACTTGCATAACTCACGTGACCATGACAAAACACATGAATAACTCATGTGACCATGTTAAAATCCATAAATAACTCATGTGACCATGACAAAACACATGAATAACTTATGTGACCATGACAAAACACAGGAATAACTCATGTGACCATGACAAAACACATGAATAACTCATGTGACCATGACAAAACACATGAATAACTCATGTGACCATGACAAAACCCATAAATAACTCATGTGACCATGACAAAACACATAAATAACTCATGTGACCATGACAAAACACATGAATAACTCATGTGACCATGACAAAACCCATAAATAACTCATGTGACCGTGACAAAACACATGAATAACTCATGTGACCATGTTAAAACCCATAAATAACTCATGTGACCATGACAAAACACATGAATAACTGATGTAACCATGACAAAAAACATTAATTACTCATGTGACCATGACAAAGCACATAAAACCACGACCCCTGACTCTATAATAGGGCATCCCTCGATTTTTGTTCCAGAATTTGACTCCTGGTCATCGACTCCTGTGACCAAACAAAATATAAATATCTACACCATCAATGAAAAAAATTAGTTTGAACCACATTTATAAATTATCTTACGCCCGTCTCATTTCCAAAACATAGATACTTAAAAAAAAAAAAAAATTAACAACCTTATTTAGGTGTACAAATAAAATTAGATCTTTCATTTGCAAGTAACATGCACCGATTAACAAAAAGCTACTCTCTGTTTTCCAGGAAAATGACCTTTAGCCTAACCAACGTGACCAGAGTGACCTGGATCAAAATTGGCCTGCTTCTGGCCTTCTTGATGGTCAACGTCGCACTGTACAAGCAGTCGTCGCAGTTTCAAATGGTCGTCGCCAGCTTCTTCAGCTCGTTGCCCGCACAGAACGTGGCGAACACGCGGAACGTCACCGGCTCCTCGCCACCCAACGCCACTCAATCCCCCGCGTCGTTCCGGCCGGGAAACTTCACCACGGACCTCTTCCCCCTGACACCGAGCAACGATCTCAGCACCATTCCCCCGAAGAAGAATCCGACTCACATCTTCAAGTCTAAAAAGACACTGGCCCATTCGACCGCCAGGTCTGCGCCCTACCCCAAAGTGATGCTAGAGAAGCATCCGTTCCTGAATGAATCGATTGTCAACCCACACAATTTCAACTACCGGATATTCCCGTCGTTTGTCTGTGATCCGGACTCCACGGAGTTGGTCATTGCCGTGCCCATAACTCGGAGTAACTTCGAGGGGCGCAAGACGGTCCGGGAAACGTGGGGGAGTTTCGCCAACACCAGCGGGAATAACGCCATCCTCGTGTTTTTTATCGGCTCCGAGCACGACTCCGACAGTGAAGTGCAAACTAAAATTCAGAACGAGGCTGCAATCTTTGGTGACATACTACAAGAGCAGTACATTGACAGTTACAATAATCTTAGCCTAAAGTCCGTCTCCATCTTGAAGTGGGTTAACTTCTATTGCCCGCGCAGCTCCCTTGTCCTGAAGGCTGACGACGACATGTACATCAACGTCCCCCTGCTCGTCCGAACGCTGAAGGGGAAAGCCGCCTCCTCTGAAACCCCCAGTGCCTTTGTGATGGGATCCGAACAGTGGAACGCCCACCCCATCAGAAACACCGCCTCCAAGTGGTACACGCCGTACACGATGTTCAAGGGCGACACGTACCCGAACTACATGTCCGGTACGGCGTACGCCATGACGACCGAGGCGGCGAAGCTGCTGTACGAGGCCTCGCTCCGCGTGCCTTTGTTTTGGTTGGAGGATATCTACATAACGGGGCTGTGCGCCAAGAAGAGCCACGTAACCCTCGTAAACAGTGACATGTTTTCCTACGGGAAACCGGATGCGTCTGGTTGCTCCTTTAGAAACCACATTTCTGGTCACCGCTATAAGCTGGAGGAGATCTCCAAGATACACAAAGAGCTGTACGATCCGAACACTGTCTGTGAGCGAGCTGCTGCTTGAAGATGCCAACCCTTTAATTCTGGAGCAGTTTGTCCCTAGGTCGTGTCTCATGCGCTACAGGCTATACCATGCCTCTTGCAATGGGCGGATTTCCTTTGCAATCGGATGGATGTCCCTTGTGATGGGATGGATGCCCCTTGCAATGGGATGGATGCCCCTTGCAATGGGATGGATGCCCCTTGCAATGGGATGGATGGCCCTTGCAATGGGATAGGTGTCCCTTTCAATGGGAGCGTTGTCCCTTGTGATGGGATGGATGCCCCTTGCAATGGGATGGATGCCCCATGCAATGGGATTGGTGTCCCTTGCAATGGGATGGATGCCCAATGCAATGGGATGGATGTTCCTTGCAATGGGGTGAATGTCCCATGCAATGGGATGGATTCCTCTTGCAATGGGATTGGTGTCCCTTGCAATGCAATGACGTTGATGCAATGATAATGCGTTAAAGAGTCCCCCTGAAAATGGAGATCCCTTGCCTGGGGACCTTCGGGAGCTTAGATGTGCCCCACGCCATGAGCATACACTCAAGATAATGAATGACGCCCTTTTATAATTGTGCCCTTGGCTCTTCATGACATTCTTTTATTGTGGGGGGTCTGCTTAAAATAAGGTGGTTGATGTAACTTTGATGTTAAGAGATTTGTAAAACATAGTTTGAATTGAGAATTATATTCTCTGGTCAAAGCCGGTAAGATAGAGGAGTCGCCGGTGGAACAGAGAAGTCGCCAATTGAATGGAGCAGTCGCCAGTGGAATAGAGGAGTCGCCAGTGGAATAGAGGAGTCGCCAGTGGAATAGAGGAGTCTTACAGTGGAGTAGAGGAGTCGCTGAAGGAATAGAGGGATCGCTTGTGGAATGGGGTCGTTTGTGGTACAGATTAGCGCAGTGGATTAGATGAGTGGGGTGGGTGAGTGGGATAGTCAAGGCGGCAAAGTTTGACCCAGTGAGATATGTTATCTTACTCAAGTGAGATACGTTATCTTACTCAAGTGAGATACGTTATCTTACTCAAGTGAGATATGTTATCTTACTCAAGTGAGATATATTATCTTACTCAAGTGAGATATGTTATCTTACTCAAGTGAGATATGTTATCTTACTCAAGTGAGATATATTATCTTACTCAAGTGAGATATGTTATCTTACTCAAGTGAGATATATTATCTTACTCAAATGAGATATGTTATCTTACTCAAGTGCGGATATAGAGCCCTAGAAAATTGAATGACTTGTTAGAGCCCCACTTCACATGTAACATCTAAATGGGGCACCTGGCTCCTCTGGTTTTACATATAATTTCGGTACTTCATCTGGAATATGTGCAGATTGAAAAATAATGATTACTATATAACTCCATTCAACCAATACATATTTTAACTGGACGTCATTCAATAATCATTAAAAACTAGTATGTAATTCCATAGTCAGGTCCGAATAATCCTGCCCTCGGCAACCAGCGTGGGAGTCCAGAAGTCAGTGCCCCCCACCTCCGCACCATGGTTAAAAAAAATCTTCTGCAAAACAGAAATGAATGAAAACATAGAACAACGGGGCTTCCTTACACGTTTAGACTGCAAGGTCAAGTTTATCGCAATCACTGGGCTCACTTGCAGGTTGTTTGCTACGTTGTCCTTGTGTGTGATATTTAAACCGCGTACCGTCTCAGCAATGGCGGTGTTCGGCCATTTAAGGCTACCGCCACACAAGGCTAAAACACTGGCCGGCTTAAGTAGCCACCCCGGTGAACTGAACAGACCGTCCACGAACAATTTCAGTGTAATAATAAATAATATGAGAAGCTGTGATAGTTAGTGGCTGTCTAATGTTGCTAGGGTGTCCGCACCTGTGCCGCGAAGGGCAGTCTCGCAAGCACTTTGTTGATTGCATGCCGTGTGTACGTGACGGGAACACTTGGCATGTCAGGTGTGTGTTTTTATGTGTGTCGATTGGCCCAGTGACAGGGATATTATGTTGTCGTATGTCAGTGAAAAGCATGCGATTGCTAGTGTCAGGTTGTTATTATGAATGGGAAAAACCCATCATTTGGATTATCATTATTCAATGTGTGACCATCTATGATCATCTACTCAGGAATAAACTGATGGCTTCAATCGAAGTGACTATAGCTTAGCAATAACACTCAGCAAATGTATCATTGATACTAAAAACCATCTTTTCCAGATAAATCTGATGGCAAATATCAAATATATGGATCATCCATTTAGCAATAGGGCCATCCATATATTACATACTGGTATGTTTAAAGTCAAAATTTCAAGTCCTATTCACCACTGTTGCATAAATACTTTTTTTTGACACCCCACCCCCCTCTTCCCGCCACACTGCCTACGTCGTCGAACAATGACGCACAGTGGACTAGTAGAAGTATGTCCAACGAGTCCACTTGTCATTAAAGACCCGATGCACCGTTGTGATGAAATAGAAACAACGAAACAGCGCTGAAATTTGTTTAAACTTTGAAAATAATTCCGAAGAATTGATTTTTATAGATTTTTAGGTGATAGATGGCTTTTGAAATTCGATTAGGCTATTTTTGGACTGACGGAATTTAGGATAATTATTGCAGATTCTGTGCATAAGTGTACGTACTTTCTACCAACTCCCGACCCCAGACATACATACCCGCAGAGGAGTAGTGAGAGTGTTTGGCGCCCAGGGACAATGTTCATTTTAAAGCACCCCCTTTTCTTTTTTTTTATCAAAGCAAATTTTGGCGCCCCTAACTAGCTGGCGCCCGGGGACATCTGTCCCCCTGCCCCCCCCTTCGCTACGCCTCTCCATACCCGTACGCAAAATCACCCCCCCCCCCTTTTTTTTTTCGACGTGCGCACTGCATATATGGTTGGCCCCAATTTAAATTGAGTTAAAGTATATATATATTTTTAGCTCTGGCATTGTTTGCTTTTATTGATTGTTAAAATTCGTTCATTAATTAATATGCTTCAATACCTGATCTTATTTTATTGTAATAATCTTGTTAAAATTTAAAAAAAATGATGAGACAGAGTGTCTTGTTTTATGTTGTTTGGAATGATTTCATCATACATCATTTCATCATACATCATTTCATCATACATCATTTCATCATACATCTTTTCATCATACATCTTTTCATCATACATCTTTTCATCATACATCTTTTCATCATACATCTTTTCATCATACATCTTTTCATCATACATCTTTTCATCATACATCTTTTCATCATACATCTGTTCAGCATACATCTGTTCAGCATACATCTGTTCAGCATACATCTGTTCAGCATACATCTGTTCAGCATACATCTGTTCAGCATACATCTGCTCATCATACATCTTTTCATCATACATCTTTTCATCATACATCTGTTCATCATACATCTGTTCATCATACATCTTTTCATCATACATCTTTTCATCATACATCTTTTCATCATACATCTTTTCATCATACATCTTTTCATCATACATCTTTTCATCATACATCTTTTCATCATACATCTTTTCATCATACATCATTTTTAATTATTTGCTTACAATAAGTGCATTACAGTCTTACAGCGTACATTTAATTTACTTTTAATTTTAATACGCAATAAACACAAATATTAAGAACCTAAACTAAGACCATCGGTGAACGCCCCTTCTACTTCCATGCGCCCACGTTCTGGAACCAGATCCCCTTTGACATCCGTCATTGTGAAACCTCGTCCACTTTCAAAAAGTCCCTACAAACCCATCTGTTTAGATCAGCCTATGACCTGTGATGCACCCTCCTTGCCCTGCCTCATTTTCTGTCTCGGGTTCGAGTATAGGCCAAAACGTGGCAAAGTGTCCTCGTTTTATAGCCATTTTAATTGGTTATATAGTTTAGTAGTTACTATCCTAGTGTCTGTTTTTTTATTTTAATTTTACTTAGTTTACATGTTTTTAATAATTGTAAATCGCTTAGAGCTTTAAGGTAAGCGCTATATAAAAATGCCTAAATAAATAAATAGATACATTTCATTTGTTTTAAAAATACGAAGTGTGAGATAAAATGCTATAATAGTAGTTTGTAACATTTACTAATCTAGGCTGTGTGTGCTTTGAGGAGGTTTCTCTAAGAACCATAACAGAAGTTTTGTGCACAATGCCCCGACATTGTCAAAGGCAACACTGACAAGCTACCCATGGTCTTATAATTTCTTGTTGAGTACATTCAGCTCCTGTGTAATGTAAACAAGAAAATTAAGCCAAGTCCATAGGCTATTCGGGATCACTTATTACAGCAACAACCACCCCATCCTTTCCATGAAGGCCTTAAAAGCTAAAACGTGTTCAAGCAGTAGGTTAATAAGACACGAACAAATTGTGTCAATATAACAATATAAGTTACGCTTTAATAATAATTATACACAATTAAACGTTTCGGCACATGCCTTCATCAGTACAAACAAACAAAACACATTTAAGTAAGTATAAATTAAATTTACATAATATCAATATACATATCCTACCTAAAACGGAAAAATATATGAGAGGGCGCTAAAACCAGGCAAAAACAAAGTAAAGAGGAGTAGAAAAAAGGGTAGGCAGAAGCAGACCATATTTATGAATTATTGATGCGAAGGAAGCAGCTATTGTAGGGAGAGTGAAATTTGATTTTTATGTTTTTTATCTATTAATAATAAAAGGCCTTTTTGACAAACCCTATTTTGAAAATGACCAATCTGACAGGCTCAGAATTTTCCTCATTCGTAAACACTAGCGGCAATTTTAATAGGGATTCTTTGATACTGTATCCGATTGCTACGATCTAAACAATTATGGTTGTGCATTACCCACCAATTTCAACATAAAAACATCCACAAGGAAACAAGGGTAACCCCAGACAACAAAACGCAAAACCAAATTGATCACATATGCATTAGCAAAAAATTTAGAAAGTCTCTACAAGATGTACGGGCAAAAAGAGGAGCAGATGTCACATCCGATCATCATCTTGCTTGGGCGAGACTTAAGTTAAAGCTGAAGAAAAACTGGGAACAGCCAACTGCTAAGCGAACCAAATTCAATGTAGCACTCTTGGCAAATGAGCAGAAAAGGGAAGAATTCAGTGCTACCTTGGGAAATAAGTTCCAAGCGATAGAAGATCAAACAGAAGACCAAACAGAAGATGACCAAGTAGAACATACATGGCAAAGTATAAAGACGTGTGTAACATCCACCTGCCAAGAAGTTTTAGGATCAGTGAAACAGAAACAAAAAGACTGGCTCTCAATAAACACACTGCAAAAAATAAAAGAGAGAAAATAAATTGAAAATATAGTTAACATTAACAGCAGCTTCACCAGGGCGGAGAAAACGAAAGCGCAAGAGAGATATAAAGAAGCAAACCAAAGGTAAAAAACAGCATTAAAAAGGATAAAAAGGCCTACATAGATGGCCTAGCATCGACAGCAGAAGCAGCAGCCAGGAAGGGCAACTTGAAAGAGCTCTACGACTTAACATGAAAACTGTCAGGGAGATACAAAAGACTGAAGAGACCTGTCAACGATAGAGAAGGAAAGAGCAACAAAAAAGATGGATGGAATACTTTAGGGAACTATTAAACATGCCCCCACCCACAGACACACCAGACATAAAACCAGCAAATGAAGACCTACAAATAGAAGAAGGCGCACCAAATCAGGAAGAAATAGCTCGGGCCATCAAGCAGCTCAAATTAGGGAAATCACCGGGACCGGACAACATCACAGCAGACATTATGAGAGCTGACATAAATACAATAGTCAACATGCTGCACCCTCTGTTTGAAAAGATATGGGAAGAAGAGAGCGTTCCAAAAGATTGGAAAGAAGGATACCTTACCAAGATCCCAAAGAAAAGGGATCTCAGCAATTGTGCAAATTACAGAGGAATCACACTGCTGTCTGTACCAGGAAAGGTCTTTAACAGAATTATTTTGAACAGAATGAAAGACCAGGTCGACATGCAGCTACGAAATCAACAGGCCGGCTTCCGCCAAAACAGATCATGCACAGATCAAATAGCAACTCTAAGAATCATTGTAGAACAGTCCATCGAATGGAACTCCTACCTATATATAAATTTTATAGACTACGAAAATGCCTTTGATAGCCTGGACCGACAAACCTTGTGGAAACTTCTTCGGGACTATGGAGTACCTGGGAAACTAGACAGGATCATTCAGAGCTCTTATGAAGAAATGATATGCAGGGTGGTCCACTAAGGTAGACTCACAGACTCCTTTACAGTCGAAACAGGAGTCAGACAAGGATGCCTCTTGTCCCCACTTCTATTCATCCTTGCCAATGACTGGATAATGAACAAATCCACAGACAAAAAGAGGAAGGGGATACAGTGGACACTCTGGGAACAACTGAATGATTTAGACTTTGCAGACGACATTGCACTTCTGTCCCACAACCAGCAACAAATGCATGGAAAGACACAAGACGTAGCCACGTTTTCAGCAAAGCTTGGTCTCAATATAAATAAAAGCAAGACAAAAATCATGAAGGTAAACCCATCGAACCATGAGCATATCTGTCTGGCAGGAAAGGCACTGGAAGAAGTTGGGTCCTTCATATATCTAGGCAGCACCATAGACACAAATGGCGGATCCGATGCAGACGTAAGTGCCAGAATTGGAAAAGCTAGATCGGCATTTGTGCTATTAAAGAAAATATGGGAGTTGAAGGAGCTAAAACTGCAAACCAAAGTCAGAATCTTTAATACAAATGTCAAAACAGTCCTACTATATGGTGTAGAAACTTGGAAAACAACAGCGAGCTTTATACAGAAAGTGCAGACATTCATAAAAACATGCCATAGAAAGATCCTCAAAATCAAATGGCCAAATACTATCAATAACAAAGATCTACTAGAAAGAACACACCAGGTGCCCATTGATGATGATATCATAAAGAAGAGGTGGAGATGGATAGGGCATACGCTCCGAAAACCCCCAGATAGCACCACCAGATAATGCCTAACATGGAACCCACAGGGAAAAAGAAAGAGAGGAAGGCCTAAGAATACATGGAGACGCGAGCTAGAGGCTGACACGCGAAATATGGGATACACCTGGAAGCAATTGGAAAGAAAAGCACAGGACCGTGAGGAGTGGAACATTCTTGTAGACGGCATATGCCCCAGACGGGGAGGAAAGGCATAAGTGAGTAACTAAGTATTACCCACCAACTTACATTTCAAAAGTTTTAAAACTTTTCTCAAAACCGCACTCTTGCCATCGTTGTCTCATTAAAGGCTACAAATTAAACCTTTTATTCCGATTTTAAAACGGTTATTACCATTATGATCAACATGCAAATATATAGAAACATAATAAAAATCAGAATTAGACTAGTCGGTGAGATTCGACTGAAACCGTCGCGGAGCGTCACATTATAGATATGAGAATGGGGAAAACGCGGCGGTTGCATTAACACTAAACTTTGCTTTCGTGTAGCGAGCCGCAAGATATCGTCTTGCGGGTCGCAAATGGCCTCACGGGCCGCGAGTTTGAGACCCTACATTAGATTATTTATTAGTATTCACGATGATCTCATTTTTATAAAAAGAATTTAAATATTGATACTTTCCCCCATCATTTGCAATGTATGCGTGCACGAATTTCAAAATATCTAAATATTTCGGTTTCGGTCGAAAGTTTCTTTGTACTTTCGGTTTCGGCCGATCGTCATTTTTAACTTTCGGCCTAGCTTCTTTTCGGCAGAAATCAGAAAATAACTTTCGATCGGTCTCTGTTATATAATATGCAATATATTTATATGATTTAATTTGACCCTAATTCATTATAATAATTATGACAAAGATTCAAATGGGAAAAAAAGTAAA